GGGGGGGAGAATCCCAGTCCTTGGGCTGAAGCATCATGCCTGTGCCACGTCTCCGCTGTCAGCTAGAACGTGAGGGCGGAGCAGCCGATCCCCCGGGCCTCTGGGCTGGGACCTGCTCTGCGGTCCTGCCGCCCGCGCCCCGGACTCTGCATCGGGTGAAGGCGGGAAGCGCACACCCCGTGCCGTGCTTTCCAGCGAGCGGATGGAGCCTTTGTGGCTGCGCCTCCTTGCCTCTGGGGTCGTACCCCGCCCTGGACACGCCCTGTCGTGCCTCCCGCCGAGCTGCGCCTCTCTCCTTCCAAAGACAGACTGGGACCCCGTGGAAAGGAGTGGGGATGAGGAAGCCTCCTTGGGTTGGTCATCCCTGGAGAACCTGGAGAGACCAGCTGTGTCGTGTCCCCTTCCCCTGCCCAGGAGTTGCCCTTACCCTCTTCTCTGCTCCCTTTCCTGTCAGGGGAGTGTGCAAACCCCCCTCAACCACCCCACTGCTTCGCCTGAACTCTGTGGGTCTCCTTGTTGCAGGCCGTTGCCATGAGTGGGAAGTCGCTGCTGCTGAAGGTGATTCTCCTGGGCGATGGTGGCGTTGGGAAGAGCTCCCTCATGAACCGCTACGTCACCAACAAGTTTGACTCTCAAGCTTTCCACACCATTGGGGTGGAGTTCCTCAACCGGGACTTGGAAGTGGACGGGCGCTTTGTGACCCTCCAGATTTGGGACACGGCGGGCCAGGAGCGCTTCAAGAGCTTGCGGACCCCCTTTTACAGGGGGGCGGACTGCTGCCTATTGACCTTCAGTGTAGACGACCGCCAGAGCTTTGAGAACCTGGGCCACTGGCAGAAGGAATTTATCTGTTATGCCAACGTGAAGGATCCTGACCACTTCCCTTTCGTTGTGCTGGGCAACAAGATAGACAAGGTGGAGAGGCAGGTGACCACCGAAGAAGCCCAAGCCTGGTGCTTGGAAAATGGAAATTATCCGTATCTGGAGACCAGTGCCAAGGATGACACAAATGTGGCCGTGGCCTTTGAGGAAGCTGTTCGGCAGGTGTTGGCCGTGGAGGAGCAGCTGGAGCACTGTTTGCTGGGCCACACCATTGACCTTCACTCCAACACCAAGTCGGGGTCTTCTTGCTGCTGAGAGCAACCGTGCAACAGAAACCAGATCCTTGAACCAGCCACCCTGCGGTAGAGGTTCTGGAGGAGGCCCTTAGAATGTAGTCAGAAAGGGCAGGCGGGAGGCCCAGGGACAGCTGGAGGTAGCCATTCTTCTGTTTTGCATACCTAATATATTGGGCACAACACCAAATCAAATAGAGTTATAGTTCGTTGTATGGGCTAGAGCTGCCAGTGAGGTGTGTGGCAAGCACTGTAGACATTCCACAAAGTATTTTCTGAACTGGAAAATTGTATTCTGTTGCCCTTCAGGATGTTCCTAAGGTTACTGGGGGAAGCCAACAAGAGAGCAAAAAAAGGGAGCTGATCCAAAGTTCCCTAGCCGTGAACTGTTCCGGTGGTGCTGAGCACAGGAGTGACAACCCTACAGTTTGGCTTTATTGTATGGGGACTTGAGTGGGAGTGAAAGAATTGTGAGAGGGAGGGCTTCTAGGGGAGGCTTAGGGCCTGTGTGTGTATGTGGGTACATGCATGCCCAGGGTGAGCAGGAGACTCTGCTTAGAGGTACAGTTGTTTGCATCCTGGCATCTCACAGGGCAGTGGTAGTTGTGTTGCCGGGAACAGAGGCTAGACCCCCCACACACACTCTTTTATCTCTTTCCCACCCCACCTTGCCCTTTCTAGCTTGTTCCCTCTGCCTCGCTGTAGGAAGCACCAGCCTTCTCTAGTCTCTCTGGAACATGTTGGGCAGAGAATGGCTGTCGTGAGCAGCACTCTGTGGCCTGCACTGCAAAGTTGTCAGAACACTGGGCCTTTGAAAAGGGAGCTGTGTGTGTGTGTCAATGTGGCAGGCTCTGGGCATCATTCCTGTCCTGTGTGTGAAGGAGATGCCTGTAGCTTCTTCCTTGCCTGGAAGTGCTGCTTGTCTACCTGCAGTTTGGGGCATCCCCACGTGGAGCCTCTGCGTCGCCTCTCAGAAAAGACAGTCAGATTTTCCTGGCAAGCAAAGCATTAGATCCCAGATATGGATCTTATGTGGTTGTCCCTATGGCAGTTTCCCAGCATCCTCCTCTCTCTGATAGGAATAGAATTACCAGGGGTGCTTTGAAGGTTCCTCAGCGACTGGGTTTCTTTGTGGTGTCTGAACAGAACCCATGCCTTCTTCAAGCTAGGCTTTGTGCTTACTAACTCATTTCCCCTGGGGG